CAGTAATATCATTTGCCCCAAAGAAGTTCTACTAAATCTCAAATTTCTGCTCCAGGTCATAAGTAAATCCTGCTACTGGTCAAGGCAAAATGACCTTTTCAATGCAGGCTATATACTATGTCTATTTACTGAATATCACTCTTAGAAATAGGTTTGATACATATTTTTCAAAAAATATTTGGCCTGAGGCAGACATTTTCCATGGAAATTTTCATCCCAAATAGGTAAAGTTAGCTGAGTTATAAGCAGCTGAAAATAGCATTTGTTAATGGAATGTGTCAGGCAACCTGAATAATAAGCAGCGACACCTCCGTGAGACAGACAAGGGTTCTGTAGTGATTCATAAGGCTGCTGAGCACCTTTGTTCATGCAAATGCACAAAGTGTGCACTCACACAGCCTGTCTGGGCTCTGGTCTACTCTCTCTGGTCTGTAGCATTAGAAACCACAAGTGGCTCTGTGGGCACCATATGCAGCCTCACAGTCCCACCATGTTTTTTTCTTTCTAAACAGGGACTGGCACAGCCAAGCCAAATCCTCTTCTTTTACTCTGTGCCACTTAAGAGTCTTTTGCCACTTGCAGAGCAGCATAGGTAAACCTGAAATCAGGAAACCAATAAATCCTGTATTTCTAGTATATCTGAATTACACAGAGGTTCAGGCCCTGCCTGGACCTTGCAAGTCTCTCAGGTCTTTTGTTCACTTTGGTGTCATTTTTAAGCTTTCTGCAACTGTGTCATACTCACTGATGCATTACCTGGGATGTCAGTCTTGAAACAATAGGGCGAAAAGAGATATTTGCAAATGTGCAAGATCTATTAGCAGAGTATGATGGAAAGCTTGTTCCACCACTGGCTTACTGGAGTGAGGAGCCACCCTCTGGTGCTGAAAGCCTGTTTTTTTGGTTCCCCTGGAGTCCTGGGTCCTTGGGTAGCAGGTCTTCATTTGATGTGGGGACAGGTGGGCAGCTGGGTACCCACTTTGTTCATGGTCTTGTTTTCCCTCCTCCTAGGACTATTTTTTTCATAGTTCTGTTCTCTCAGTACCTGAAAGATGTCCCTGTGCTGCTGCCGTCTTACCAGAAAGGCAAGAAGTGCCACTTCTCTCCAGTCTACCTCTTCCAGATCTTTCCGGTACGTTGGGGTTCCTGGAGACCCTGGATGATTGTGACAGAGTGACTGGCCTCACCTGCTGTGGGCTGCCTCTGCTCTTTCCACAGGTGTCCAGATGAGTTAGTGCTTCCCAGCCAAGCCTACGTGGCGAGGGGCAGGGGGAGAAAGGTCCCCATGTCCCTGACCCTGGGGAGGGAGAGAAAGAAGGAGGAAGGGCCACCAGAAGCCCCAGCTGTCTCTTTGCCTCCATTCCCTGTGCAGGGGAAAGACTCATGCAGGGAGACAGCGACAGCTTGTCCCCCACAACCATGCTGGAGATGCAGCCATACCCTAACCAGACCCCACTGCTGCATTTGGGGACAGGTGCTGCTGGGGCTCTCCCTGAGCTGGCTGCTCTGCTATGTGCTGACAGTGACCAATGTCCTCCCTGTGGACCCCACTGCCTACGGACACCTGGCTCGCACGGACACTCATGGGGACGTTTTGTCACAGGCTCCCTGGTTTCGGCTGCCTTACCCAGGTACCACTGCCCCCCCCCCCTTCCCCATCCTGCCTGCTCCTGCTTGCACCTCCACTTATGACTAGAAGGGGGAGACGAAATGCCAAAAATCAGGCAAACACCCGCAAACATTCCTGCTGCTCTTCCTCCCTAGATTTCAGGGCAAATGTGCCCTCCACACCTGAACCAAGGTCTTTACTTGCAGGCCAGTGGGGAATGCCAACAGTCAGCCTGGCTGGGATATTTGGCATCTTAGCCGGGGTGATTTCCTCCATGCTGGAGTCCGTGGGAGATTACTATGCCTGTGCCCGCCTGTCCAGGGCCCCGCCACCGCCGAAGCACGCCATCAGCCGCGGGATTGGGGTGGAAGGCATCGGCTGCCTTCTGGCTGGGGCCTGGGGCACAGGGAATGGCACCACATCCTACAGCGAGAATGTGGGGGCCCTGGGCATCACCAAGGTGAGCCTCACTGCAGCGGGGTGGCTGGGGTGGCTCCTGAGGGTTCCCCTGCAGGTGTATGTACAAAAGACTGGTGCACACGGGTATGTGCTGGAGCTGGAATGTGATCTTAGCCCACGTCCTGAAAGGCCACACTGGAAAATTGTGCCCTGGCCCATTGGTGACCACCTCAGCAGCACTATGAATAATTTAACAGAGGTGGCCAGTCCCTCTCTTTCTCTGCTTATGGTCTGCATGTGGTATTAGTGGACTCACTCATGGCACCTGGCTTAGGTAAGGGTAAAGAGAGCATGTTACATCTGAGCTAAGCTGGAAACTTCCTGAGAACTGACTTTATCAAATACCATCTGTCTGTCTCTCTCTGACTTCCTAAATATATTTATAAAGAGGAAAAGGAAAGGGAAAGAAGGGGAGGTGGAAGGGGAAGGGAAATAGTAAGAAAAGAAAGGAGAAAGAAAATATTTAATAGAGCTTCAAATTCCAGAATTTTTATAAACCAAGGATGGCAGTCATGTGAAAGGTAGACTATTTCTTTGGGATTATAAAATGTGTTAGCAAAGGTTTGTGTTTTTTACCTCTCTATAAAGTTTTGTGAATCCCTTGAATATATTAATTGCTCTTATAAGGTAAACAAATTTCCAGAGATAAGCTGGACAATCAGATCATAGATTTTCACCAAGCTCTGCAGCCAGAGGATAGGTACATCCAGCAGCCAACTGAACAATATTTTCAAATCATTGTCAAATAAGCAATGCCATGCCAAAAGAGCTGTGATTCAGGAAATAAATGCAGAATTTAACTTACAGCTTCCACTCTATAATATTGCTTATTTAACTGGATTTTATAGACCTCACTCACAATAACCATTTTTCACAGACTGAAGTGGTAGTGTTTGACTGAGGTGGCTGCCTCCGGCACCAAGGATGTCTGGATGTCTGCATGGAGTCCAGTTTAACCTGTCAGGACATGTACCTTGTCACTAGGAAGTCTGTGCATACTGATCATATACCTGAGCCAATTCTTTCCTGACATGTAGTTTGCTGCATATATTGTATGTATGGGATGCTGCCCAGATTCATAGTTACCAGATTATAGGACATGTTCTCACCATGTACGCTAAGTCCTTCAGGTGGACATGCCATCCTTACTGATTCAGGAGAGATATTTCCCTTAGATCCCACCTCTGCTTACTCTGTCCACTCTTAAGAGAGCTGAAAATACAGTGTCATCTCAGTCAACTTTAAATCAGTGTAAACACTCTGGCTGGGACAGATGGGGATGCTGAGAGCACAAGGCAGATTTAATTTCTTTTTTAATGTGGGAAACACATTTTTCCATAACAAATGGAAGCACAAGGGACTTGTTTCCTCTGCTTAAACAGAGATGTCCAGGACCACCTGAGAAATCTTTGGACATCTCAGATACCCACAGGGGCTGTCAGATAAGGCAAGGAGAACCTGCTGGAGGCTGCCAAGATGCAACATCTTACATGGCACCAGACACCAATATTTAAACTGCTTAATCAAGCCCAGTTTGCCACTACTGAGCTCTCATTTCCAAGAAAAGAAGAGAGGGATTTTAAAGAGAGGTAAAGGCCTCAGAGTCACCATATACTGTAGGGAACTCTGCAGTTTCTTCAGCCTTAAGAAAGAGAACTGATTTTCTTGTTTTCCTGACATTGAAACAAATTCTGAACTAGAAGCTTTAGCAGCATATGCTCACAGTTGTTGTATCACTGGATTAAGTCATTTGCCTTTAAGGCCAACTCCATATACAGGGTAATTCAACATTTTAGCAAGCTGAGAATCTGCATCTTTGTTCTAATCCTTAAGAACAAATAGATCTGTTGGCTTTTATTAAATTAACATTTTGATGGTGATAATGTCCCAAAGTTTTAAGCCAAAGAATATAAAAAGCCCACCTGAAAGCAATGCATGATTTTATTTTGAAACTCCACATGAAATCTTTTTAATTTATCTTTCACAATCAAGTAAGACTCAAAATATTTTAAAGGGACATGTTTAAGAAATACCTAAAAGAGACACCACTAGTTACTGGGAATGTTTTTGTTCAAAGCATTCACAAAAAGCCCTTCCTGTAAATATGATATTCTTCAAACATTTAAAGGGAGGTATTAAGATATTTAATTGAATTATAAAGTGTTTTCAGAGGATTACAGAGTTTTCCTGCCTAAGACATGAATGTTGTGAATTTTAGCATGATTCTTTAAGATGTCCAAGTTTTGGTATGGCAAGGCATATCTTGAATTGAAAGTCTAACAAATATTCCTGCTTTTCTTTTTGGTTTCCATAGATTTAAATGTCTCTTTGAACCCTTTGTTTGGCAGATACTCTTTATCTTTCCTATTTGTATGCTGTAGCAGATCTGAATGAAGGACATGGCTTGGTGATTTCATCCCATCTTTACTGTAGATGGGAAGCACAGCTTCTGGAACCAAGAAAAGGCCATTCTGGCTCTTTCTAGGGGAAAAAATGAGAAAAAAAAATGGTTTTACTGAAGCTAGATGGGTGATGAGAGACAGGGGCAGACCAGGAGACTTTCTCCCTTCTTATTTTTTGACTATAGAAAGGATTTATAAGCTCCCAGAGCTCAGGATTGGAGCAACCAGCCAGCTGTGGTCTCCCAAATCTTGGTCTCCAGGGACTGGAGGGATCATTGTGGGACACCTCGTTGAAAGCCATTTTTATATGGTAATCCAAACCCTGGTGGAAGGTGTTTTGTCCAGTGATTGTCCAGTGAATTGACTGGCTGGTTGCAACGCTAGGCTGTATGTATGCCAAAATATTTCTAGGCTGAAGCAAGAGCAAGGCTGTGTGTTGGGATAACTGTGCTCTTAATTTAACCTTTTAATTGCTGTTTAACAGCAAACTGTTGAAGTCCTGGCAACAGTAGGAAAAAGGATAACCCCGAGGAAATAGGTGTGGTGCTCTCAGAGTGCCTCTCATTATAAATATTTACTGGTGCACAAATACTGATGGTTCCCATTCAGTGTCAGCATCCCAGCTCACCAGCAGTAGTATCCAAACCTTCAACTGAATGTGCCATTGAGTTTTTGGGCCAGAGCTGCAACCTCTGCCCAACAGGCTGGTGCTGGAGCCTGCCATCCCTCGCCTCTCTGCTGATTGGTGTGTGATTGCCTCCTCTTCCTCTTGCCCCAGGTAGGGAGTCGAATGGTCATCATTGCTGGTGCCTGTACCATGCTCCTGAGTGGCATCTTCGGGAAAGTTGGGGCGATGCTTGCCAGCATACCCAGCCCAGTGATCGGAGGCATGTTCCTCGTGATGTTCGGAGTTATCACGGCAGTGGGGATTTCCAATTTGCAGGTAACGCTGTGTGAACTCTGTTTCACCCCTAGAGAAAGAGACTTTAGTTTCAAGTCAGATTGACTGTGTCAGATATAACCACACTGCAGCAAATGCAGACATTTGTGTTGGCAATTCCTTGGGTAAAGATATGGGGATGTACCCAGAAGGGCTAAATCGCAGAGGGCTCCCTGGCTGGGGCAGGGCTGTCTGGCACCAGTGACCACAGGATCACAAACGCCCCAGCAGCACCAGGGCTGTCTGACTGCAGTGTTTGCATCCCACCATGTCTCATGAACACAACAATAATCCACAGTTTTGGATAATTCTGAATGTAATGTATACAATTTCTCTGTGCAGTATACAGATATGAACTCCTCAAGAAACATCTTTATCTTTGGATTTTCTGTATTTTCTGGCCTCACGATTCCCAACTGGGCAAGCAAAAATAGTGCACTGCTGGAAACAGGTACGAAATGACATCAGAAGCATTCTCTGTAGCATAACATTGAAGCAAAGTTGATCCAGAGAAACCCTTTAAAATGCAACTCTTCCTGATAAAACCCTGAAACCTATGCTTTGACCGTGTCCCGTTCCTTTCTGTGAGGGCTGTTTTTGCCTTTTGCTCTGATGCACGCCTCTGGTGTGGAAATCTCTTCTGTTGATCAGTGACTGCACCTCACCATATTCCTCTTGAGCTAAGGATTGCAGAGCACTTCCCTGGGACACAGTCTTGGGGTGGGGCAAGAGAATACTCCAGAGCTGAGTCTTGACCAAGGTCTTGATGAATGAGGCTTTCTTGTGTCCTCATACACAATAAAACTTTGTGCTTCCAAAATGCAAGATCAGACTCCTCTACTAAATTCCGTCAAGTTCACTTTATTGAAATTTCCAGTTCTCCAACAGTTACCCCTTCACTGTGTCTTGTGTGACTAATGTGTTCATCACAAAGGCCGTAGTGTCTTCTCTTAAAATATACATGGCATGATGGGTGGGCTGTTTAAAGAGCTCAGCCCACAAACCACACACTCTATAGATGGTCTGTCAGATGCTCAGTGCCACTGGGCTTTGCTGGTGCCTATTAGCCCTCTAGGGGAAACATCACACCTGATTAGCTTGTGGTGAAATCTCATGCTAAATATATTCATATTTCTTTGGAAACTGTAGCTCGTGCTCCTGTAGGAAACTGCTAGGTGTTATGTCATGGAGGTGCAGAATATGTTTGGAGCAGAAGGTGGCTTTTTCTGGGACAGGGCTGTGGTCTGCACTGTTAATAGGCTCTTAGTGTATTTATTAGTCATCTCCTGCCCACTGCATATCAGTCAATAATCATGTAGAATAAAACTGTAGGTCTGAAACTGGCAGTGAGATCTATCTCCTTTCCATTGCCAAATCTGCTTTGGGATTTGCAAGTCTAGTTCAAGCAAGCATGCAGTTTGCAGCCTCTTGGCACCAGGTATGCTGCTGATAAAACATGTCTCACTACACCACTATCTAAAGCTTTGTTTTTCTGCTAGGAATCATCCAGCTTGACCAGGTGATCCAGGTGCTCCTCACCACTGGCATGTTCGTGGGTGGAATCCTGGGGTTTTTCCTTGATAACACCATTCCAGGTAGGATTTGCTGAAATGTACTACTGGTTTGTGCCTGTGCTAGGGTTTGTTTCCTGGTATTTTTTGTCTTTGTGACTACTGTTCTATGGGCAAGAGTTGCGCTAGCAACCATGAAGCACCATGAGACTGTACTCCTCTCAGGGAGGGGTGAGGAAAGGAGATGTGGCTGAAAACAGCAGCACAACAAAAACTAACTATTTTGTCTGGAACAATCCAGGCTGAGGAAAAGGTTTATTTGGGAAACATGTCTTTTAGGGAAAATGCCAGCCTAGAGCCATGTTGCTGGTAAAAATGTAAGAGAAAGGCAGTTACAAGAAGTGGAAGGAGCCAACATGTGCCTACTTATGGGAGCTGCTAAAACTGAAGCTGAACTGGAGCCACAGCAGTGGAAAGCAATAGGAAAATCTGATGACCAAAGAGAGGATATAGCACCTGCAGCTGTCCCTCAGAGGGACAAAGAGCCTCGGATTTTCATCAAGCCTGGAGAGGGATGGCATAAGAATAGGGGATGAAACCCTCTTTTCTGCTACAGGAAAAGAGCAGGAATCTGTTAACCAGATTATTTTACTGTCTCAGGCTTATTGGAAAGCCAGTCTCCCTTTGGGTCATTAATTTTCCTGTAGCCTTCAACCTTCAGCTCCTCCAGAATTTACAGATGTGCTCACTGCCTTTCCCAAGAGGAAGTCAGCTGCCACAACGGTTATGGGCCCTTAGGAATTCCTTAGCTAGGGTAAATACCTGTGACTGACTAGTAATTGCTAGCTAAATCCACTCTGAAGTATCTGGACAGTTAACATCCAGCCTTGATTTCCCTTCACTGTACGACTTACTTTGAACAGTACTTGGATCCCCCATGGCAGGTGAAAAATTTGTCTTGGTATACTTGATTCCCGTGGAAAGCAGTGGAGAAGACTGCTTATCTGGAAGCCATTGCAGGAAGACATGTATTGTCTGGAAGCTCATTAGTGAATATTTTTAAAGAGCTTTGGAGCTAGAAGGGTTTAAGTACAAGGGATCTGTATGTTGTGCTGGGCCTGCTGGATTCGAGAAGTGGGTGTGAGGCACACAAAGTAGTCCTGTGCTCAAACACCTGCCGTTTTAAACACAACAATCTCATTTTTGCTGTTGCAGGAACACAGGAGGAGCGGGGGCTCCTGGCATGGAAGCATAGCCACAAGGGAGGGATGGAGAGCTCTCTGCTCATTTCCAAGGTCTATGATCTTCCATTTGGCATAGGCACCAAATACTGTGCTGTCTCTTGGTTTCGGTATCTCCCTGCTTGCCCCAAAAGACTGTCTGGCAACAAGAGAATGGATGAACTGAAGGCTGCTGGACAAAAAAGCACCGTTAAAGCAAGCTCAGAAAGAGACTCCGAGATCGGTGCAGATACAAGAATATAAGGACCTGGCCTCAGCACAGGTGAACTCATCTCAGAAGCAGAGGTCTGCAAGCCTGTCTGCAGCCCCCATCATTTGAGCATGAGCTGGCAGCTGTTGAGGGTGGAACAGGAGAATAATGTCTTCCTCTTCCCAGCTCTGCTCCCTGCACCATTGGTGACCTTGAGGGAGTCATTCTTTTCCTCTCTCCTCCTGCCTGGCCACCTCTAGGAAGAACCTAATCCCTCTTCAGGGAACACCAAAGCCCAAGAAATGCCTGAGCAAGATGTTCTGTTTCCTTCCTTGCACTGAATGTTGGGCACCCCAAGGACCAGCTGTTCAGCTGAAGCAGAGGGCTTCCTGTGCCCTCATCTGGCAGCTCAAGGAGCCAATGGAGAAGGCATCCCTATAACACTCTCAGGCATCCCTTGGGTTGAGGCTAATCCCTACCACCTTTAAGATCTGTAATGGCAACACTCACCTTTCAGCTTGTGTTTTATACCTCATCCTGGCCAAGGGGAAGGAGCAGGCACCTCTAGGTCATGATTCATCTCATTCCATGTTCCGATAATTTAGTCAGTCAAATGAATATTGTTGTAAGAGAGTCATCTAAGGTTAATGGGATACATTGAATTCTGAACCTGCCTCTCCCTCCTTAGACCACAGAGGGACTCCAGAGACCTTACTTAGATTCTTGCCTAACCCAGCTTCACTGAAATGTATCCCACTTGGGGTGCTGGGAGCAGTCTCAGGTAAGCCAGTTTCCCACAGGGCACCCTGCCCTACAAAGAAGGAATCCTCATCAAATATGAAGGAGAAAATTCTTCTGCTCACAATCTGATACGTTCCTGTAACTGCTATGTCCTGTGTACCCCCACTGTACCTGTCAGTCTGGTGTGGTGATTGTGTGGTGACAAGCACTTCTCTGGAAAACACGTTTGCAGAATCTTGCTCCTGCTCCCTATCAGCAGAGACAGCCTTAACCTATATGGTCACATACAATATGACTGCATGTGGTGCTGGTTGCTGGTGATGTGTAATAACATTGTTGCTGTAGCACAACCTTGTGTTTCCTGCATTGAGATTTACACTTCCTTTTTTTTTTTTTTTAATAAATAAAATGTATGCTGTAATGATATTTCTCAGGGTGGTTTCTATAGTGAGGGGAAGGTAGTATTCAAAGAATCACAGAGTAATTCAGGTTGGCAGGGACCTCTAGAGGTCACCTGGGCCAGCTCTTGCTCAGAGATGGTCCTGCTAGACCAGGTTGCAGAGGACTGTGTCCCATTGAGCTATGGATAGAGAGCTATAGCCTCTTTGGGCAGCCTCTTCCAGGTCTGACCACCCTCATGGTGTAAAGTGTTTTCCCTTGTGCCTAACTGGAATTCCTAGTGCTTCACCTTGTGTCTGTTGCCTCGTGTCCTTTCATGGTTCTTCTCTGAGAAGAGTCTGACCTTGTCTTCTCTGTACCCTCAACTGGACAGCTGAAGGCCACGGTATGATGGCCCCTTCAGTCTCTCTTGTCTCAGGACTGAACAAAACTGTGTGGTTTCAATGAAAAGCCTGTTACAGTCTTGTTCTTTGGTCCCACACTGCAGCTGTAGTGATAGGTGGCTTGTTTATTGGTAACAGATATAATGTGGTTTTTTGCTTGGAGAGGGAATGAAGCCTGAATAGATCAATTGTGTGAGTGTTAGCATCTTAAAGAAAGAAACATTATGGTATAAATAGTTTGCTGTTATGGGCAGATTGGAGAGACTCTGTTGGCAATTGTTTTATTGGAATTGCCGTGTCTTTGTTGCATCTTGGGGTTGTTATGTCTTTCAGAGAAAAAATGATTTGTACATTGAAGTATATCTGACTCCCCCTCCACCATTACACATTTTAGATATCACTAGTCCCAGGCATCTCAGCTCTGGTATCTTCTTCATCATCCCCAACCTTGACTATATCTCTAAGCTCATTTAGAGCCAGCCTATACTCCCAGGCTGCTCTCTCTAGCAGGCAAATCCATGGCCTTACTCATCATCTCTCTCAAATTTACCTGTGCTGTAGCACATGTGTCAAAGTGAGTTGAAGGTCTACATCACTATGTTCCTGTGTCTGTGCTGAAGCTGCCAGGCTGCTGCTGGCCAGACCCACCACAGGCTAGAGGTTTAAATGGGAACAGGACATACAGCTAATGGATGAGGTACAGAAGTCACATCAATAGGGTGTGTTCCCCATAAATGAGGAACCCTCAGTAATTTTGCTGTCTCCATGTTAGGTATATGGCCACAGCCATATCTTTTTGCTTTTCCCCATAAGACATGTTAGGATGCTGGCAAGTGCCAGAGGCTTATATTTGCTTTAGCTCTGCTTAAAAAAAATATCATTGGCACAAGTTGATTATGAAAATCAGTCTAGAATTGGCTTTTTATTCCCCACCCCACAGCTGGAGAACATTGTCTATCTGTTGTGCTGTCACCCTGCACACCCAGCCTGCTGCCATGTCTGTGTGTCCCCATCTTGTATTTGGCTTGCAAGCTCCCTAGAGCTGGGCACAACTTTACACATCCCCAGAAGAGGCACGTTACCCAAGCACACCTATGGCTCTGGAGGTGCAGACAGCTGCAGGGGCGGGAGGGAGTGGTGCTGGGAGTGGTGGTATGCTGGTCGGGGGCAGCCGTGTCCTGTTGCTAAGGCTTAGAAGACATTTTTCAGAAGCTGTTTACATCCCTGTTTCAATCTTAGGCTCCTAAATGCCCTTTAAAATTCCCCCTTTGATATGTTAGTTATATATTTATAAAATATCCTTTTATTTGCCTCAGGGGGACAATTCTGTATTTTAAAATGAAGTAGGCAGGGGTTAGTCTGCAGGGCCACCACTCCTCCTAACTGCATGTGGCCACTTGAGATTTGGAAATAGCTTTGGCTTTGCACCACAGCAAAACAGCTTCTGTTTATTTGCTACCTAGTGAAAAAATGAAAAGCAGACGATCCTCAGGTGTAAAACTGAACACTTGAAGGCTGCTCCAGATTGCTGGGACAACAGCCAGCTACTTGTCAACTGCATTTCCCTTTCATGCTACTGAGTCCTGAGTGCAGCAAGACTTACTGATGTCAGCCAGGTGTGGGGGTCACTCTGCTTGCAGCTTTGCAGAGAGGCAGATAGCTAATTGGGAAATCCAGACAGGTGCTCCTGCTGTTCTGGCTGAGGAGAAACGGTGATGGGTATTTGCTTGTACCTAGGTACACTGGCTCTAGAGCAGCTAATCAGAGGCTCATTTTCATAGCTTTCTCACAAGAAGACATGACCCAGGCAGTAGGAGTGTCCTCTGTTATGGTCAGTGTGTTGTAAAGTGAGGGGCTCCCAGATGGCTGTGCAACTGGGTCCTATTCTGTGCTGTTCAGCTTGGTCTGCCCAAACCCCTACAATGGCAGCACTTCCACTGATGTGTCCATGTTTCTCATTCCTCCATCCCTGCTGGCCTTCTGCTTCCAGCTCCTTCCCACCTCACTGCCCCAGTGGCCTGCTAGCCTACATTTTTCCAGATTTTTTAATGAAACATTTCCATCAGACCAACCACTGAGCTCAGTGTGGAACATGTGCACACCTAACAATACTGTGTTCAGGAATTAGGGCTGCTTCACTGCCAAGGCAGAGCAGACCTCACACACACCAGGCCAGAACAGGTATTGTCTCTGTAGAGTTGGCTCTGCAGGAGAGGAAACCACCTTCCCACATTACACACTGGCCTGTGCTCTTGTAAACTATGATCATGCAAGAGGAGAAACCAAAGTAATGTGCACTTCATCTTCTCCTTAGTGTCGTTACACCGCCCACAAAACCTGCTCCTATTTGAGGGAGGTATTGTTTTCACATTAACTCAACACACCTATTGTTTCGCATGATTGTTCAGGCCAGTCTTAACCTAAAATTCTCCTGGTGAAGCATCGGAAGCTCTCATGTCTAATGATTAAGGGAATGCATTTACAATAGTGTATGGTGTCCATTTAAAACTGTCTTCTCTTGTAGGTGGCAGGCTAGAAATAATTTGAAAATTAAATATTCCACTGTGTAACTTCTGCCTTGGACTGGCCTTCAAAAGGGTGGCGATGAAGGGAGCATAAGAAAAGGTTGTTAACCCTTGAAGTTTATCTACTCAGCACGTGCCAGTATTGCCAAGTTTGACCTCAGCTGATGCAGTAATTAAGATGGACACAGTGAAAGAATCATTAATGTAACAAACCTGAACAAATGTTGTGTGGCAAATAGAACAGGAGATGGCCAATGTGGCCAATGGCATCCTGGCCTGTATCAGCAATAGTGTGGCCAGCAGGACCAGGGCAGCGACCATCCCCCTGTACTCGGCACTGGTGAGGCTGCACCTTGAATCCTGTGTTCAGTTTTGGGCCTTTCACTACAACATTGAGGTGCTGGAGCAAGTCCAGAGAAGGGCAATGAAGCTGGTGAAGGATCTGGAGCACAAGTCTTATGAGTGGAAGAGTGGCTGAGGGAGGTGAGTTATTTAGTCTAGAGAAAAGGAGGCTCAGGGGAGACCTTATTGCTCCCTACAACCACCTGAAAAAAGGTTGTGGTGAGGTGGGGGTTGGTCTCTTCTCCCAGGCACCTAGTACAAGGAAAAATGGCCTCAAGTTGTGCCAGGGGAAGTTCAGGTCAAATACAAGAAGAATTTATTGACTGAAAGAGTGATTAAACATTGGAACAGGCTCCCCAGGGAAGCGGTGGAGTCACTATCCCTGTAAGTGTTAAAAGTGTTAAAAAATAAGCAGATGTGGCATTTTGTGATATGATCAAGTGGCCACGGTGGTGTTCACTCAAAATCTGAACTTGATGATCTTGGAGGTCTTTTCCAACCTTTATGATTCTATGAGAAAATCTGTATGATTTCTGCAGTGAAAAGCTTTTAGAAAAAGCAACCTCAATACTGAGAAAAACTAAAGTGTCCCCCCAAAACTACACAAAGATAAGAAAAGAGGCAGAACACTTAATGTAAACACTTATTACTATAGGTACATATATATGTCTCTTGTATTAGCTAGAGGAAAGAATAATTTGACCTTGGATCCCGTGCAAAGTCTGTACATGCATTTCAACCAGCACATGTCCCCAAACCCAGACTGCCCAGGGAATGCATGTGGTTAGTATTTTGGAATGAGAGGGAGAGGAGGGGAAGCCATCACTCTCTATAGCCTCAAAGCAATGATAGTATGTACAAATGAAACACACTAGAAAGGCCACAAAATGGCAAGGCTGCACCCTGGAGAACTCCGAAGGGCTCTTAAACCCAAACAGGACCCCTCCACCCCCAATTTAAAAGACAGCAGCTTAGCAAACATCCACCATGGAGTGCTATCACAGCCTCAACTGCAGGGATAGAAGGGGCTCTGTAGCCCTTATTCTTCCCTTGTACTTCAGTACTAGGCTCCCGTGTGTTTGCCTGAATGTATCATCTTTTATGCGCCAAGGCAATGCTGGGCAACAGCCCAGCCCTCTTGGGTTCAGTCTAAAAGCCTGGCTGCTGAAGACCAATCAATACCTGGGTGTGCCAGCTTTAGTTTAGGTTTTAAAATGAAACCTATCCTTTCTGTTTGTGACGGCTGTTAGGATGACTTCAACATAATCACTATCAGAACACAATTTGTTCAAGTCTGCAGAATAGCCTTTAATGATAGCTCTGAGATGTGAAGGATTTTATTCATTTTCACAGCACATTAATTCTAAGACACTATTTGAGCAGCACTACTCATCAAAGAATTAGATATGGAAGAAGAGCACAGGGCTGATCACTCAGCTTTACACACTTTTCAAAAGTAAATAATCCAAAGTGTATTATTGTGCCTGCACTTTTCTGGGTGATTTGGGAGTGGGTGCCCACTGCTGCTGTCCTCATAAAGAGACAGAAGAGCCTCATCCCACTCTTTGTGAGGAAATCCATCTTTCCTTGTCAGCCCAAGCTAAAAAACAGCACCAGAAAAGTAATCACTGTCAGGGTGGTGATTTTTACAGGTTGCAGTTTGAGACTTGCATCCTATGGTAGTGTGCAGGCTGCCACTGATGTGGCCTCTCTGCTGCTCTTCCACAGGTTATGCTAGGTAAGG